CTAAACCCCTAAACCCCAAACAAGCTTCGCTCCTTGGTCTGGCGCTCGGGCGGCAGCTCCATGCCTTGTTGGAGCCCATCAAGGCCACTGGCCACGAGACCTGCCAGCACCTCAGCAAAGGGATATTACCCTCATTTACTAGTGGTTTAGGGGATGTATACGGGTTTATATAAGGATTATACAGGGTTATAATATGGGGTTATACAGGGTTTTATAGGGGTATATAGGGTCTCCCCTTCACGAGGGTTCTAGGGGATATTTACGGTGTTTAAAAAGGGCTGTATATAGGGGTGTACAGGGTTTAGGGTTTAAGGATACTATCTCCAGTACGCCTGAATAATTAGCAATTTCATTCTGAAGGAACCATCACATTGATACTTATTCATGCGTGTAGGGGTATTGGAGAAGTGACCGGGGGTATCATCCCAATAATACAGAATCAAGCCAGAAAGAAAGTGTAAACTAATGGGCACAAAGGTTTATGGAGAGTCATAAGGTTTGGCCTCGGTAGCTGTATTCCGAACCAATAATGATATATATACATATACATGTCTATATACATATGTTGGACATTACTATGAGTAATTGTCTAAACTCCTAGTATCCCCCTTAATAAGCCCTATAGTAGTCCCCTATATAATCCCCTATATAACCCCCTTTAAGGAGTTTAGACTATAGCTCATATTACTCCAATATACCCTATCATCCCTATATAACCCCAATATTTATGGTAGTTTCCATTTTCTTTTCCATTATCCCCATATAATCCCTTATATCCCCCCATTAAGGGGTTTAGACTATAGCTCATATGGTAGTTTCCTAAAAGAGGGGGACCCAATATAGACCCCCAAACACTATGGTCCTTCTTATGGGGACCCCCAAAATGGTACCCCTAATTTTGGGAAACCCCCATACCTTCCAAACTCAGAAGCTCCTGAGGCGGCAGCCAAGTAGGGATTGGCGGAAGCTGAAGGCCTTGGTCGACCAAGCTTGGGTGATTCTGGGAATGGGTTTAGGGGTTTAGGGTTTAGGGTTTTAGGGGTTTAGGGGTTTGGGGTTTAGTTTAGGGGTAAGGGTTTATAGGGTTTAGGGGTTTAGGGTTTAGGGGTTTAGGGTTTAGGGTTTAGGGTGATTCTGGGAGTGGACTCCGAGACTCGCTGGTTGTTAGTATGGAATGAAGGAACAAAAAGGGAAAGGGAAAATACAACAGGATTGAGGATTGTATCCGGGCTACTACGAAGATCCTTTCCAAAGAATTCTGGAGGTTTGTCAATTCTTTTGTTCGGTGTTTTACATGCCAAAATACTCAGGATTCCTCCTTTCTCGAAAGATACTTGTAGGTACCCAAAGATTGACCAAACAACGTGAGGGCAACTGCGCTGTAACTACACGTGTTAGGAACGGAGTTGTAACAAATTCGGCCCCGCCTGCCATGATCACGGGACGCTGGAATCAGGACATGGGAGATGAAGCTTGGTCCAATTCTTATTGGCGTAGTCGGACCACCCAGCACTTGCACTCATATCAATGCTCAACGTCCTGACATGTCCAAGTGGTCCTGTCCTGAGCTGCTGGCATTCGCAACCTTGGCTGCGATACGACAAGAGTGGCATTGAATGAGGTGTTTGCTGCTCCCGCATGCAAGCCGTGCGTTTAGGATGGTGGTTGGAAGAACTCGTTCCCTCAAATTCAACGATGATCATGGGATGCCTGCTCGTGAGTGACTGCGTTGGATTCCAAATAGCGCAATGACAATTCGACCGGGAACGAACTGCGCATGTCAGCACCAAAGATGGAGAGGGCTCAAAGAACACAACAATGGTCATGATGCTGGCTCTCTTCCGCTTGGACCTACCTGGCAATGCCAAGTCTGCAAGCGGCTGCGAATCACTACGCCTGTTTCATTCTGGTGTTTCCAAACTGAAGGCTTGCAGTCAGGAATTGGCCTTCAAGTCCCGTGGCCCGAAAGTTTCAAACCTCAACTCAACACCCCCAAGCTTTTGCCAAAAAGCCGCCTCCCTCGATTATCAATCCATAACTCGGGGGGACCAAGATCGGTTTGATTTAATCGGCTTGCCCAAGCTTGGGTCAATAGGAACCTGTGCCCTATACACCCTATAAACTTGCGAAAATGCAAAACCTGTTGAGCCTAAACCCCAAGCCTGGCGCACCGTATCAAACCATTCGCTCTACAAACACCCGAACCCTCAAGACGAGCAGCTCCATGTAGCAGCTTCCTGGGCTCTTGTTGGCCAGGGCATATATGTATAATATACATATATATATACACATATGTATATACATATATATATATACATGTATAGATACATGCGTAATGACCGTTTTCAAGTACTAACCCCTACAAAAAATACTCAGATGGAAGGTGAGGTCTTTTTGAGGGGTTGGGTAACCAAATCATCCTCATCATTGTTGAGGTATTGCCAACGATAATCGATCTGCCGTTTATGAAATAAGCACAAAAAGTCTTTCTAAAAATGGGGGGCAGCCGCAACATATCCCAATATTATGGGGTCCCAAATAGTCCGAAACCTTGAAAAGCATAACCCCTTATCGGAAACACACCACCCCCCACACCCCCCCCCATTTTTGTACCCAAAATCCTACGTCGTAACATGTGCGCTTCCAAGCGACAGACCCAGTTGAGCACCCGAAAGTCCACTAGGATTTTGATTAAAAACAACACCAGACATGGATCCGCAATTGTTGCAAAATCCGCAAATCCTGCCTAACCATTGCAAAGCTTCCTGGAGGACCCCTTCGATCGGCTTTGACCCGCACACACGCAGAGCGGTCGTCGAAGCCCCAGTTGGCCACAGTGGGGGCCCAGTTGCCTTTCTGAGGTGAATGCTGAAGGTTGTTTTGTGGGAACCCCCTCCTCCTGTCCGATTGAGATGCCAGGGGCTGATTGAGTTAAAACCGTGGGGGCTTGAGTTTAGGGATTGGGGTCCGAGGCTTGAGGACAGGGATTTACGGTGTGGGCTTGAGGGGTTTGGGTGCTGGCTCAAAGGCATGCAGCGCGACATACAGATGCACCCCAAACAAGAACCCACACTCTTGTGAACACTCCAAACAATGCTGCGCAGTTGCCATGGCGGCAATAGCAAGGCGGCGTGGGCGAACATAAAGCTTCCTTTCATGGGGGCCGGTTGCAGCAACATCCGCAGGGTATGAGCCTACTCTTTAAAAAAACTCGGCAGAAAAGCACAGGGTTGGGAGTGCCAGCTGCATCAGTCATCAGTCAAACGTATTCAAATGCGTTTCATTAATTCCACAACCTCATCCACCAAACAACTCCTCTTTCAGCCCTTCCTGAAAACAGGAAGTCAATTGAATAAGGGAGGGTCATGTGGTAGTTTCCCAAAATAGGAGGGGACATGGGGGGACCCCAATATAGACCCTAAAATACTATAAGCTTTATCCTGGGGACCCCCAAAAGGGTACCCCTAATTTTGGGAAAGTACCATGGAAATGCCCCGCAGCATTGGTTTCTGGCCGAGAATCCAAGGCAGGGGCATGAGCCAGGACACCTGCCTTACCAACGGGTCATGTTCACATGGGCCACTGTTTATACTCCTAGTATATCCCCCTTAATAAGACCAATAGTCCCCTATATAATCCCCTATATAGCCTTTTTATTAAGGAGTTTAGGCTATAGCTCACATGGTGGCATCCGCTACGATTTGGCTACGATGGCTGCATGTTTTGAAGAGATCGGGACGCCCGATTGCAATGTCATGGTGGAAAAACAGTTAAAACACCCGTCCACACGAGTACTCATCTTGCACGAGCATGAGGCAGTATATCTGTATGGTTGCAAGGGTTCACAAAGGTTCGAAGAAATCATTGCCGATCCCCGATCCCCATCTGATTGCTGCACCGCCAAGTCACCAAAAAGGATCTAGCGTCTGCAGATAAGCCTTTCGAATCTTCTGAAGAATGAAAGGCGTTCAGTTTTCCCGATGTTGTTCTGGAAACAATATCCTCAGCTCTCATGGGCGATTTGCGGCCCCAAACAACACAGACTGACATCATACTGATCCTATGCAACTGCAACGGCATCCATGCAAAAGAACACACTTGGAACTTAGCGTAAGCGCCCATGTGCATTCCAGTGTCATAGGATGCCATCGGCAAATGCATCCCTCAATGGTTGCATTTGAAATTGGCCTTGAGAATCGAGCTCTAGCCTTTGTTTGGAGTACATGGGCCAGCCCTGCTTTTGATACACCCCGCCACAACCCCGACCACCCCGTCAAACCCACTATTTCAAAACGCTGAGGTCCTAATTTCGATTTGTAACAATTGCCCAACGTGAACAAACAATAAACAATTGCCGTCGGGAAGCCGCGGTAATCATCTTGTCTCTGCAACTTAAAAAAAGGGGCATGCTGCACGCCCACGCAAGACCCAGCTTGAGGTCAGCAAGGCTATAAACCATGAGTCGTGCCGGTTTGGGATTATTGCTCATTGTTGACTTCAGCTACCAGTACCGCGCTAAAAAATGCATGGGATTGTTCTGGAGCACAGGCCTATAAACCTAACCATGGTAGAAACAAGTGAAACACTGCACCTGAAGCAACGTAAACGATCACGGCGACGGACGTTGTATTGAGACATTGCGGACATCATCATCCGAAGCTTCTTGTTCAACGGCAAACATCATCCTTGCTGTGACGATACATTCTACATACAACAAATGTTGCTAAGTGATGTCAAGCAGCCTTGGCATCGCTTCTGACACCGCCAGGCATCCAAATCGAGAAGTTCATGTGTCCACCATTTCCGACGCCACTAACCTGGCGCGCCCCAGTGTAGCTAGATCGTTGTTGATAGGATTTCTGTGCGGGCGTAGCATGGGCGTGCCGGCATTGTTCAGCAGGTGGCTTCGAAAGTCTGCCAATCAGGCTACCATGAAGGCGATGGTTAAGTCGAGGCTTGATATCTATCTCCAATTCATCTACCTCATTGCCTACGAGGATGATGTACTACTGTAAGCAAAACACGAACCACAATTGCGTGAGGTAGGACCTTATGCAATTTCAACAGCGTTGCATGTTCTGAGAAGCTTACACACACATACCGTGATTGGTCTCAAAAGGACTCATAACGTTGATGAGTCGTTCCCACCCAAGGGGGGCACCCCACAAGAATGACACTACAAAAAGCTAACTATAAGGGAGGATCGTAGCAGCTCCGACAAAAGCTTGTTCGCGGACTATCCTTGCAAACCCTATGCTGCGCACTGCGGACACGCGAACACACACAGGCTTGGGGCGCATGCAACTCAACGCCAGTTTCCAACATGCCCTCCAATCCGAAAGGAAGCCTGCAATTGCATCTGCAGGACTGCAGGAGTAGAGGAACGGGTTTCGGTGACAATCTTTTACTAATCCCAAGTAACAGTAACAAATCCCTAGGTATTTTGCAGTCAAACGAGACACCCCGAAAGGCTTTGCCATGAAGGTCGCTCGCAACCCGGCATCTTGGGCCATCCTCGGAATTGGACACGAATCAGCCAAGTACTAAAGTGCCTTTTTGGGTTTAGGGTTTAGGATTTAGGGTTTAGGGTTCAGGGTTTAGGATTTAGGGTTTAGGGTCTGGGAGAAGGCCTATAGACAACCACAACACACATTGAGCGGATGCCTCTTACTTGCTGCGAACAGTCATGTTTGTCATCACCTTGAAACGAATCACCCCGCTCGGACGATATGCTTTCAGGAGAACCTATCATGTTCAAGAGTTGCAGCAATAAGGAGCTTCATTATTGCTAGAAAAATTCGATGAAGCAGATCAGAGCAGAGTGAGTCCTCAGGACATGGGTCAATCCAAGCTGGTCATACGAGGACCTCGGGACACGAAGGCCGCACACAAAAAAACAACAAACATGCAAGCTTGAGAGGGGTTCATTTCCATGAAGCGCATAAAGCAAAAACAATATCACGTTGAGGTCTGTTTGAGGCACGCATGCCATAGCCGTACAAGGCATCTGGGACCAGAATAGCTGACAATTGTTTGGCTGCGTGCCAAAAACCCGTGTTGTTGCGTTCTGCGCCCCGGACTGTCTGTCCATACCCCTTGAGACGCCCACATGTTACATACCCTGTGTCTCGCTCTAGGTTTTCTCTGAAAGGCCACGCTTGGGGGGGCTTGTCACGAAAAATGCTCTCTGATATGTATAAATATATATATATATATGTATCTCTTTCTCTCTCTCTCTCTCTCCTACATAACGGGGTATGCAACGGGTGTGGGCCCCGAGCCTTCTGGCACGTAGCCATTCAGCTGAGGCCTGACTGACTGCCGAAACTGTAAGCCTGAAGCCAAAACCTCATCACGCAGAATTCCTGTAAAACGGGTTTTTACTCTATTCCTGACACACCTGAACTGCAAACCTTAAATAGCAACAACAAGAGGACACAAAAAGCCCTCTGAACCATAACCCTCCAAATAATTAGAGGGGGATTCTTACCAGAAGGGGAGTTTCCAAAAATCGGGAGTCCTTTGCTGGGGGCCATCCCAATAGGATCATAAATTATAGTCTATGGGGTCTGCGAGTTTCTATGTTTGGGCCATTCTAAATTCATGGACACCCCAAATAGCCTGGCGACTCTTTCGTGCCCGTCCGGAAAGTGGCTGTCATGTCTCCAGCTTCGATGCCTAGGTTCCCCAGTAGCCCCTTTATAACAAGAGTACCCTTTCCCTGATACTCAGCTTCAATAAGGAGACCCCAAACTAAACGGGAAAAAAGGCTCAAACTGGGGTACCTAGCCTATAATCCCATTGGGCCCTAAACAGTACTTTCCGTTCTCTTGTCCGTTATTACTATATAATCCCAATGCCCGACAAAGGGTACTAGTGGGGTAGCTAGATGCCAAACTTGGGCGCAAAAGTGATTTCCAGCTGGCCTTGACCGTACTCTGTGTTCCTCGGGAATGCAAGGGAATATGAGGCTTATGTGGAGAATATATAGAAGTTGTGTGGTTTTACTTCGGGATATCCCAGGGTTATAAAATGATACATAGGGTTTCGATTGAGGCGTGGGAATTGAGCGTTTAGGGTTTAGGATTCACAGTCTTGGCTTCTCAGGATGTTTGTGTTCATTTAACTGCAAGGACTTCTGTGCCAGCCGGAGCTAAGGGGTCTACAGGTTTCGGGTCTTGGCTCCAGGTTTGAGGGTTCGGGCTGATGGGGGGTGTAGGTGGTTTTTGGGTTATCGCTACAGTTAAAGGCTTTCACGGGATTTTCGAGGTGTAGGCTTTGCAGTTCATGTTCCGCCCCAACACGCCACTCCTGCGTTGCATTCCCAAGCGATCCTCTATGTCAAGCTTGTACTCTGGGGCCCACGCAGCCTCGCATCAACATAACTCTGCTTCCTGCTGGAATAAATCAGAAGCGTTTTGAGAACTCAATGACGAGAGAGTACTATTAACACGGCAACCTGTGCCACGTGCGCCGAGATGCATCGTGAGCACGTCCACGCCCACAGCATCCATGTTCTTTTCCAGATCGTAGCAGAAATCTATCGCCTTGCATGACCTGACCGTGGTTGAGGGCTGTAGGCCTTGGGGAGTTTTAGATCTAAGGTCTAGATTTTGAGAGCTTTCATATTTCAGCGCATTAGGCTCAAAATCTGAAATCTAATTCAAACACTGCAAGATCTTGTGCATCGATTACGGTGATGCTTCTTTGGGCAGTCTTGATGCCTACGACCCAATTTTTGGAACTGCTAAAGCAGTGAAACTGAACATTGTGCTTTTGCCGGCTTAAAACGTGGCCCTCTTGACGCAGCTGGAAAATGTGAAACATCGAAGCTGACGATGCAATGTGCTTCTCATATCCATCGCGCATGTCATATACAGCTTAATTAAACAGGATGGTGTCTTTGTCCGTTCCCCAAGGAACCTAATATCACTCTCCTTTACTATTACATAACATGGATCGTTATCTATTCCTTTTCCAAGCAAAACTGATTTACAAAGACCACGAACCTGTCCGAAGTTTAGAGGGATTCTTGATTCTCTTGTGCTCCCCACTTCCTGACACTACACTAGCCCTCCCCCCAGGATCCCCCTTAACAAGGCCATTTAGGGATATATACCTGGCGGGGAAGCTATAGGGAAGCAGTAGCGGAACCCATGAGATCGCAGATTTCAACTCGAGGCAGGCGGCTGCAAGGTGGTGAAGATTTCCTGGATCACGCTTGGGCTTCTGTGAACCCAAAAATTTACATGTAGGGAGTTTAGGGTTTAGGGTATTTGGGGTTTAGGGTGTTTAGGGTTTAGGTTGTTTGGGGTTTGGGGTGTTTTTGGCAGGTGGGTAGAACTACGTGGGCTGTGCCATAATGGGGGGCAATAGCTTGACAACCTGTCATATGTCATATGTGCTTGCTACATATGCCTCAGCTGTGTAAGAAACTATTGTGAAAAAGCTTACTGGCAATGGTCCAGGTTCAGGGCCATTGAACATGGGCTCCCATGCATCTTCAGAGATTGCTTTGCCTAAGCTGCAGATCATGATTTGGACGTTTCTCGTAGTAAGGGTACCTGGAATCCTGGGGTATGAATGAACCATTGTGTCATTGCGGGTGTCCCTTGGGATTACATAGGTGATAGCGGAGTATCTCCCATTGCCTATGAGACAAGAACTCTGGGAACCAGCGGCCCTTCAGGATTACGAAGAGAGCATGAAAAACCTCTTTTGTCATGCCTCCGGTTCTTTTCAGGAAAGGTCGCGCCAATCCAAAATCTTTTCACGAACGTGCAGACAGACAGGGAACCCCTCAAGGCATGGCCGCCGAATGTTTGCATGAAGGGAATTGGCGCCCGGCTACGTTTCGCCATGACAAATTCGAGCTCGCCACCTTCCAGCGGGAAATGCAAAAAAACCCAGCTGAGCTGCCTGCGCATGTAACTTCGAAAGATTTAGAGTGTTTCTCAAACTAACCCGTAGGTAGTCCGGCAAAGGGGTAGCGGCAGCTGCCGTACTGTGTATCTAACCATGTGAATACATCTAGATGTGTACACACAAAAATAAACAGATATGTATACATAGACAGGAGGGTATCCTGTAGTCCTATGGGGACCCCCCAAATTTTGGGAAACCCCCTTAGAGCCTAAAGGAAATGGCGCCTGCGAGGAGCTCGTAGCCCTTGCCTGGGTTGCTGCTAGAAAATGAAAACTGCTATAATGAGGAAACCGCACAATTTACAATATTCCCTCTTTGTGGTAACCCTAAACCCTTCACCCTAAACCGTATACCCATATTATGGTAACTTCAGCCCTAAATCCTATATACCACTGTTCTGGTAAGTCAACTTAACTTCCTGATCAGCAACCCAGTTGCCCTCGAAGTTCTTCAACTCCGCCAGCATTCGGCCACAAAGAGATCGGGGCCCTAGCTTCATACCTGAGTGTAGGGGATTAAAGTTTGGGGTTTAGGATTTAGGGTTTCGGATTTGGGGTTGAAGGTCTAGGATTTAGGCTTTAGGAATATACAGGTGATATAGGATACAGGCGTTGTATAGGGATTAGTGTTGGGCTTATAACCCCACCCCCCTCGGACTTCCTGGCCGACCAATCTCGAAACAAAGGTCCGGCAAACTGGGGGTCATAGTCAAAACTCTGGGGCTTGAGCTCCCTCGGAATAGGAGTAGGAACCATGATTTTTACGGCGTTTCAGGCCGGGGAATCGACTTCTTACCACCCGTTTAGAAAAGGCACCCCCTGAACGCCCATTATGTGCACAGGGCATATCAAGCAAAACGTAGGTTCGGAATTAATCAAATTTCAAACCTGAATCTCAGGATTTTCTCTGGCCAGGTGACTTTAATCATTACCACCCTTCAGAAATAACGACGCTGACATTACATAGAGGCCCTATCAGGATTGCACACGGGTATAGGGGTTAGCACTACTATTTTTATGTAGGGGTATTTTGGTGGCTTTGCAGGGATGAAGTAGGAATGAAATAGGGATTGAAGAGAGGATATACAGGGAATGTTTGAATATATAGGGCTTCATCAGGAGTATATTTGGGGCTTTATCGGGATTACATAGGGGCATGATCCGAACAATGGAAACTCAAAGAAATGGAACCCGAGTGAATTAATCAAAGAACGGAGTGAAACTAATTAACTCACGAAACGAACCCACGACACAGGGATTTCTAAAGATTGAAATTAAGGGTGAAGACATCTAATGGAATCTCTACCTTGAGGTCTTACTCCTAGATCTAACAATAAACTTTGGATGATTAGGTTATATCTTCATATTTTCTATCATTTTGATCTACTGGAATTCTTTCTAGCCCTAAGGAATCTTGGTATCTAAATCTTCTATCTGAACCCTAAACCCTGAAACCCTAAACCCTAAACCCCTAAACAATGCTTAAGGGACGGATCTAGGAATCTAGGGGCTCGGGCTAGGTAGGCTTATAAGGAGACAGTGGTACACTACTGTCATCTATAAACTAGTAATTATAAGTGGAGACTACGTAAAGGATGTTGCCTGGACATAGCTTGGGTTCTTCCATGCCAAACTTAGGAAATCTTTAGGGTTCAAGGTTGCAGTGTCCAGGCTTGAAGGTTCCAGGATTAATCTTAAAGACATGCGGCGCGGGATTGTTTTTTTGACGAGGCTAGGGGTACGTGTAGCATACTCAACTTCGAACTTCTGCTTCAAAGGTTGTATCGGCAACTTGAGAGGGAGCCTTTTTGGAACAAAAAGCAGGTCTCATGAAGCCAAAGGCCTAAATCCCATACATCCTGAAGCCGAGGCGCCCTCCATCTCGCAGTAGACACGTTTGACTGTGATGCCCTTAGATGGTCGGCAGGCCCAAGGCAACACCTGCCCAATCGGAGGCGTTCCATTAATCAGAAGGGCGATGTCGTCTTTTGATGTCTTCTGGGGTATATGAGGACGCCAGACTTTAGTGGACATACTCAGGAAATCCAACAACTTATGAAGGTGTGGGGCTGAAGTCGGGTTGTCAAAATATCTGAAATGTCTGGGCTTGAGGGAATACCAGACTGGCCCTGTCATGGGAATTATGGGGATTATATTGGGATAAATATTAGCCCCCTATAATGAAGAATCAAATGGAAAAGAAAATGGAAAATGAAATGGAAACTGGGTTATCTAGTGGTTGTATTAGTCTTCACTTGATCTAGGCTCTAGAGGAGCCTGCTTTCCAGCCAATGTGAGATGATTCTGTATATAAACCACCATTTGAATATTGTTTTTTTGGTGGTTGAAGCCAGTAAGATTATATGTCTTATATAAAATACTATACCCCACAAGGAGGATAGACTCTTACTCTATAACGGGTACCATAATATCCCCAAATAAAATACTACTCATTTGGGGTGAGCGCAGGTGAGGTTGGAATATGTGGGGGTTTCCCAAAATCAGGGCTACCATATTGGGGGGTACCTATAATAAGGACTATAGTATATTGGGGTCTATATTGGGGTCCCCTTATTTCAGGAAACTACCATGTTGCCCAATTTAGTTAACCTTTGCAGCCCACATGAGTGCTAGGTAAACCTTCCAGACACGTCGGACGGGATTGTTAGTCTTTCTGCCACCCCCGCAAACGCCTTCCCAGTCCCTCATGTTTGAGAGTTTTTGTTGTCGCTTCTTTACCCTGGCGCATGTATCTTAACTCTGGGGATGTGGCTGCGTGGTGATGGTTTCTAACAGGTTGTTGTCCAGGATCTTGGCAAACCAAGCATGGAGCCAGCACAAATGCCTCGCGCCATTGAATGAACCCTGCCCGTCCGCAAAAATCCTAAGAAGAAAGACAGTAGCGGCACGCACCTAAACCCCAAAAGTAGGTAAAAATAATAGCCCTAAACCCATAATAATAGCCATAAAGGCCATTATGTTACATACTTTTAGGGTCCAGGTATCTATCCCTAATTATGAAGGTTTTGGGGGCCGAAGCTTGCCAGTCCACTTGGCTCAGATGCTTTGAGTTTTCTGGTCATTGTTGTTAAACATTCCCTTAAAGCAGCCCACATGAGCTATAGTCTAAACTCCTTAAAGGGGGTTATATAGGGGATTATATAGGGGACTACTATAGGGGTTATTAAGGGGGATACTAGGTGTTTAGACTATGGCTCACATAATTTTCAAGGACATATCCGAAATTAGGGTGCAAAAAGGCTGCGTAACATTGGCAATATGGTCCTTGTCCCAATATTGGGAATTTATTAGTCCAGTGCTACAGTTCCCTGAGCCGGGAACTCCCAATTTGCACATGGTAATCTGGTAGTTTCTCAACGAAAACAGGGTCCCGTTAGAGGCCCGCAGGGAGGGATATAGGTATGATTAAGGCAGTATAGGGTTTCTTGGGGATGCTGTAGGGTTTAGGATTTAGTTCTAGGATTTTGAAGAACTCCCAAATGACGCCTGTTCAGTTGACCAATCTGGGACCAGCTTGGCATTGGGACAACCAGCAGCAGCAATCTCATCTGGAAGCACCATAACCTCCTTGCGCATCAACCAATGCGAAGAAGTCTAGGGACGCTACTGCGGTCGACACTGCAAATTGCACGAAATACCTTAAAACCTCGCAAGCTATGGTACCAGACTGTACTGAGGTCATGCCAAATTCCTAGCATCAACGCCATGAGCCCGTAACTTGCGCAATTTTCCTCTACATATTGAGGATGTACTTGGGGGCTCCGATTAAGCGTAGGGGCATTGCAATTCCGTTTTGCTTTCAAATGAGGCTGCTGTCAACTAACATTACGCATGATTGACCCATTACACGTCAAAAGCTGCATCCGCCAATCTTAACAGCAACCACGCTACCTTGGCAAACCGAAAATGCTTGCCAACTTCTGACGGCGAGTCCTGCTTCGCACCGTATGCAAGCGCACCAGAATACATGTACACCTTCGTCTCTCGATGGCGTGCCGGCACGACCTTTGAAAGTGCCTCGGGCAAGGCTGGGCAAGGATTGAACTTGCAAATGCAGAGTTACGCTACTTGCGACAAGCTGCCCGACTCATGTGCAACATGTTGCCCTTCTCGCTTCAGCAATGCAAGTTCACAAACAACCACAAGGGTCGGAACAACAACTTATCGCGGCAATGCATCTCAATAATGTTGCAGACATGTCAATTATGCAGAATAACACCAGTCATGAGACCACGGCCATCCTCACCACCAACAATGATGATGCTACTCTCGCACCTTGCAATGAAAGTCAACGACTTCGAAGCGAATGTACTCGCGCTCCCCGCCGGCGGCTTTCTCCGAACCTACATTCCGTCGGCCACCGTTTGAAACTACAAAGCTTGCACACGTCACGTGTTAAAGGCTGAGGGAATGGCTTCAAGGCATCGCGCTCAACATTTTAGGATTGTGAGGTGGCAATGTGCAGTGGTTTGGGGTGTTTGCCTTACGTCGAAATGCCGCTGGCTCTTCAGCGGTGCTCACTGTATCGGAACCTGTTGTAATAGTTACGTGGCAGATTGAGTGTACCATTTGTATACGAATCTTTGAAGCAAAAACGTTGTCGATGGCAGCTTATTGTTGGCATACGCCCGAGCTAAACGATCGCAAACAAAACAAAGCTTGACACACCCTCCAAAACGTACGTGAACATACACCGTGCAGCCGCCTTTGCCGGAGCTTGTGGCATTCTGGCCAATAGCTCCATTGGCCATCTTCGTGCCGCCTGGCCGGGAAGGCACCTGGCATCCAAAAGCGATCGGCTGTACAGACCTACGCTTTGCACCTCTGAAGTAAGCACAAGGAATTCAAGTCTTTGAATGCTGGGCACCTGCTGGGCTGCAGCCTCTTGCATGATGGCGCGGGACAAGCAAATTTCAAATGCTATTGATAAACTGCCGTGACTTGCAAAAAAACTGAATGCAACTGGCGCATGTGATGCCAATAAAAAAATACACATGCTGCGTTTCACTACCTGGCTTGAGCCTGCCATGCCACGGTGCAGGGCGAATTTTTGGGCCGTCCCGCCCCCCCCTGCCACCTGTTCCGGACACCCAGAGCACATGCAGGCACAAGTATGTCCCAAACATTTTCAACGAGGTGAAATTGAGGTCGCTTCGCTAGCCCGGTTGCGCTCAACCAGAACAGCCAGCGTGTCGAGAAGGTGACCTGTGGTGAAGGGCCACATTCAGAACCAAAAGCTTGTCAAGAGTGATAGACACATGCCACCGCCAAGGCGACCACGCAGCTGCGGGACTCGCGACGAATCGCGATCTTGCTGCAAAACCTCTGTAGATAAAAACATGCTCCTTTGCGAACATCAAACTATATTAAAGTGTACTATAATCCACTAATCCGTATCACTCTATATCGTTCTATATTCTATACTAAATGATCTACTGGGGCTGCCGCGGAGATGCTTTGAGACACCGTTGCATTCATCAGTGGCTCGCCTCAATGCAAGTGCAACGAGCCAATAAAGATACAAAGCTCTTTGAATTTCTGGTTCAGGGCTTGGGGGGTTAGGGTTTAGG